TTAGATATTTTTAAAAACTATATACTATAAGCATTTCAGAATATTTGTATTATATTCATAATTAATTTTGTTTAGTGTTGGTTTTAATTTTTTTATTAAAGATAGCTTCAAGAATTTGTATTTTCTGATTATTACTTTCTTGATGAAGTATACAGTTATTATCCACTAATAATCTTCTACATTGTGAATGTGAACAGGAATGTTTTTGTAGATGTTAAGCAATGGATGATGAATCATTAATATGTAGAGTGAGCCTTCTAGATAAAGTTATTGTGTTATAACCAACATATATTAGCTTTTTGTCGGAGATGCAATCTCGTAAGATGCATTTAAAATGATATATAATGCTGAATATTTGCAATACGTTAATTGGTGGGGAGGAGTTATTTCGGATGATTAAGTTAGTAGTATTGAATTTAGTATAGTATATAATTCATTTTATTTTTTACTGGGATGTGTGGGAGATTTATTAGTATTTATGAGATTTTTATAATTTTGTTCATCTTTATATTTAGATTGCATCTGATTATGACATAAAAGATTAATGTTTAGTGTTTTATTTGATTTATATTAACATTTTCAATGAATCGCTATATGTGTTCATCAGTAATGTAGTTAGGAAATTCGTTATTAATGGGAGTTTAATGTTTTCAGGTCAGTGTAGAAAATTTTCTTTGTGGATGAGTTAACTTTTCACGGTTTATTAAGTTTTGTATAATTACTATATTATAGTAGTTAGGACATTCACTCTAATAATTAAGAGTGCACGAGTTTATGCCAGTAGGTTTTAATATGGGCAGGTAGTGAATGTATTGTTATTGGTGTCTATCAATATTTCAAGAAAAGGAATTTTATTAGTATTATTAAATTCATATATGAATTTAAGGAGAGTTTTTTAGGAAATAGTTTTGTAGGATATAAACATATATTAGGTAGATGGAGGTTTTTTAAAAATATAAAATATATTATTTTCGTACAGTATTTACATTAGTCGGACTATTGTGCTCATCTTTGTCGCCATATTTGTCACAACGTTTCGGCCGTTGTACGCTCCGGCCTTCTTCAGGTGGTTGGAATTTCGAACTGAACCCTTTATTTCGATTATTTTCGAGGTTAGCCATATAAAAGTTGCTAAAAGTTTGACCCAGAAGCGAGCCCATGGAAAGCCTGTCGGGTAATCTAAATTTCTCGGGAGAAATAAAAATAACTATAATCACAGTACTTTTCTTCGTGTCTGTAATCATAAAACACGAAAACTTATAAGTGATTACGAAAGGATATTATTGAAAATAAGTAAACACATGTCTAAATTGTTTAGTCAAACATTTCTAAATAAAAATATACTGATAAAATATACGGAATATATATATATATATATATATATATATATATATATATATATATATATATATATATATATATATATATATATATGACTAGTGCATTAGTTAAATTGTTTTTCTAATGCCTCTTTTGTGCTCAGCTCATAGAAACGTTTTTCTTTTCAATTTCTTCTTGTTTCTCCAATATATTGGGAGGAACAGTTTTGGCAATTTTTTTACAAATGCCTGCTTCAGAAATATTATTGCTATTAGTGTTTGAGGATCTGAGTATATTGACACACACACAAGCACACAAACACACAAACACACAAATATATATATATATATATATATATATAACATCATTTAAAAGTGAATATCTGAATAACTACATGTCCCAGGTAAACGAAATTAAATAGACGCTGTGTTGAACAATAATAGATTTATTTATTGAAATTCGAAAACGATATTCAAAGAGATATAGATTTTATAATCGGTTTCACAAAGCTTTACAAATGTTCAATATGCGCGCCACCTGTGACACGACACACGGTAAGACGGTTGTCTAGTTCCTGTCAAACACGCTGTAACATGTCTTGCGTAACATTCTCCTGCGCTTCAGTTACTCTTTGTTTAAGTTCCTCTAGGTTAGTATGAAAGGAGGTATAGATTTGTCCTTTCGCATAGCCCAATAGAAAAAAATCACAAGGTGTCAAGTCAGTGACAAATACTATACCTTTAAAATAGGTTATACTTATATACTTAAATGCTTAAGATCAGGGACAGAGCGTATGTAAATATAAGAGTATAAATTTAATTCAACACCAAGCGGTGACAGTCTGTTTCTTGCTTAAACGTAATCGTCAGGCCTTATATATATATATATATATATATATATATATATATATATATATATATATATATATATATATATAAACATATACGCACAGGCATACATATGTATACTTAAACATCTTAAACATTAGACTAGACATGTCCAGAAGGAAAATGTTTACCTCTACACCAATTTCCAGTAAGTACCCAGTGGTCTATATATAGAGAGTAACCCATGAGCTGATGAACTCTCAGGGCTTAAAATTGACTGTCACAAGAATGTGCAAACTTCTATGTCTATGATATTTAGGACTCTTCATACATAAATATCCCAAATTTTAAAACACACACGCACAATATATTATATATATATATATATATATATATATATATATATATATATACATATATATATATATATATATATATATATATATATATATATATATATAAACATTGCATGAACGGAAAGGGCATATATAAAAAAAATACAATAAATACAGTCATTAGCTGATACCCCCTGACGAATGGACAGAATTATTATTGCAGCGGCCGACTAAGAAACTCTGAAGTCGTAATGGTGAAGGCAACACCAATCAGCTAAGTGAGAAAATTTATATTTGCATTTTATATATATATATATATATCTTTTTATATATATATATATATATATATATATATATATATATATATATATATATATATATATATATATATGCTGAAAAGAAGAGAGTATCCGCAAACGTTTTTGGTTGGTTGTAACGTGTATTTTAAAAAAAAGAATATTATGCTTTTATTTTTCATAATTTTGTTATTACGGGTTTCCGGTCTCGGGACCGTCATCAGGCAAAGGGTGGAGATTTCCACATATTATTAAAAATAATTCATTTTTTTCTTTATGATTTTCGATGTTAAATATTCTCGATATGAGACATTGTCTTTTTTGTGTTAATGATCCAAACGTCTTTTTTATATATATATATATATATATATATATATATATATATATATATATATATTATTCATCATTGATAACGCAATCTTCCGATGCTGATTATAGACTGTCTATACTCAGCACCTGAAGATTGCGTTGTGCATGAAAACTCCGAGTCGTGCTATCATGAGAGATAAATGCATATTTATTATTATTATACTTAATAGCTCTGTTGTATTACATCGAGCACTCTTTTATTAACACCAGCACTATATTTGCGATGTATTATATATATATATATATATATATATATATATATATATATATATATATATATAAAGGGAAGAGCTTATAGTAGTTCCAACAAGAGAAAAGTGTGTATATTAAAAAGTAGGGAAAAACCGCAAACTTTTTGGGTTGTAATGTGGATTTTTTTCTTTTTTTGTTGTAATATAATCCACATTACAACCAAAAACGTTTGCGGTTTCTCTCTTCTTTTTAATTTATATATATATATATATATATATATATTTGTATAATTAGGCAGCAATCCTTCCTTTATGCATGTTTCGTTAAAAACGACAGACAAGGTACTACAGTTGAGCTTTTTATTTAATTTTTCTTGTGTTCTGACAAGAGCTTTTTTTTCTGGACAAAGAGTGTAAGAACTGTCCGAATGTTCTGTGTTTCCGAGCGCTTTCGGCTATACCTTTTAGCCATTATCAAGGATGGTTCAATTATGGATATTCATTAGTAGAGTGTGTGTGTTCTATGTATGTTCAGTGTGTGGTAGTGATGTTTTAGTTTCCGAATACAGTTAGCACATTGTGGCTTTTGTTCATAGT